TAACTCTTAAACAACAATAATTTTGAGTGGTCCTGAAAAGAACTGTTTTGTCGTGATTGTTGAGTAATGCTGAGTAGAGTCGGTGTATAATGAGTCACGCCAAGAGAAAAACAGTTGAACTCGCATCACGGTTTTCGAAAGATTCCATTTCTTTTCACTTGGCACAGAGGACTTCTACATCAACTTCAAATGACTTCTAGCGAGAAAAAAAAATAGCGGCTGTAGTAAATCATTAGAGCAGAGACTTTGTCAAATAATCTTAACAAAAAATAGTAGAAATTCTCATTCCTGATCATTATTAAACGTATCCCATGTCAATTTAATGCTCTCTGCGTGTTTATGATCATTTCTTCGATTATATTTTATATTTTATTGCAATACCTTTCGAGGACTTTTCATAGCATCATAATGTTTATTTACTTTGCACGATAGGTAGCCGGTTTGACAGTTCAATAGGTAAACTTGGCTTCACTCTTGGCGTGACTCATTATACACCGACTCTAATGCTGAGCTAATAGGGTGTTGTTTGGAACGAGGGTGACGCGTTTGGCATAGATGGCCCACAGCGGCTCACAACGAGCAACTGAATCCGATGGGTAGCGGTGCGGCTTCTTACTCAATCTTTCGTCAATGGACGCTCATGTGGGCAGCCTTTCGTTGTGTACTGGAGAACAATGTTCACCGCCACGCGCCGAAAGCACTGCTGCTGCTGCGGCTGCTGATGACCACCGGATGGGATTCGATTTTGAAATCTGTGTTAGGGAAAGCGCTGGCAATTGGTGATTATCTTGCAACAGTTGGGATATTGTGTAATTTTAAATAGTGACCTACTAAAAATTGATAAAGTGTTCATTTTAGCAGATTCGTAGAAAAATTTCCAATCGATTGGCTTGTTTAGAATTAAAATCCATCCGCTATTGACAGAATTATAAGTGGTCAAAACCTGACCACTTTTCGTAACGCGGTCGATTATGGTTTTTTTTTTTAATTGCACCTCCAATATGTTGCCGAAAGACGTAATCCTACGTCAAAAGTTATAATATATAGACTACGGATCACTTGTTCAGAATCAACCGCAGGTGCAAAAACATCAAGCGCCCATTCCCAGACTCAAACCGATCGAATTCGTCGGAGAAGAGCAACCAGGCATCAGTGTGTGGTATCATGGAAGGTGGCCGATCGGGCTCAATGCCACTGTTGATTTCGTTCGAACTGCCTCACCGGACAACGGAACCCCCTCAGGTCAAGCAGGTGAGAAAGGAATTCAACGTGCAGGTTATTTTTTTTCCACTTGGGCCAAGTTCTAGTCGTCGCTGGTGCTAGTCAAGGATTTGGAGAAGGAATAGCTAATGGTGAAGGAAGCCACCCATCTACTGATAGACTTTCTGTGCGAGAATATTGCGAATCAAATTCCTTTCCAAATACAGCTGGGAATATTAACCGGAACCTACTACGTGAAAAATCACGTAACGTTTCAATTTTCCCACTTCAGTCTACTTTACGTAACTCTCGTAAAATCTACGCAATGCCACCTGAATGTTAACAGAAATTCCAATTACACCCATTAATTTATCCAATGAAAATTAAGTGAGTTCCATATACCTAGAATCTATGGGCGCTTCGCGTAAGTCTTAAGTGAATTCCACGTATAAAAAAGTAAGGCACTCAGTTGGGTGTTCAACATGGCGGCATGAGTGTAAATATGCAGATTTAGTTTATAGTTACTGTTGTATTTTTTGGACTGGTTAAAAACGTAAGTATAAGATTTCAATTATGCTGTAAAATATTCGATCTTTGATTAGTTTCAACGAAGGTGGCAAGCAGCAAAAGCAGTTGACTTTTCTTTTCTTTTTCAGGTCCACTATGGATCCTCGTCGGATACCATCAGCGTGATAATCGATAGCCACAGAAGCGAACATGCACGGCTTCTGCACTTCAACCAACACCTCCACTTAGCTCAACTGCAGCAGTCCAGTTTACAGTTCACGGCTCCTAACCGGAACGGGAAGATAATGAATTGTATTATCAGTCATAGGCAGCTCAAACGGAGGCAAAGCTACCACGAAGCCGGGAAGTGCAATCGTCCCATGGAAGCACGTTGACCAAACATCGCGTTCCTGATTGGGTTTTATAGCAATGTTGTTTTTCTTTTGTTTGTAATAAATTAAACGCTCTAAGGCGAATAAAGAAGTTTCATGATTTTTTTTTTTGTAATAAGCATTAAAATTTAAAAAAAACAAAACAGCAAACAGTAGTAAAAATAATAGCATTAGAAACCACTATGAAATCTATCGACGGTATCACGTAACTTCTAAGTGATGATCCTGTGAAGTTTAAGCTTCATGAAATGAGTGCTCCTACATGAGAATCATATAGTTCTTACGTGAAAAGTACGATGGAAAAAATCTACGTATGTTATCACGTAGCATCAAAGTGAAAATTATTTTGAGTGTAGTAATCCATCACCACCGCCCGTTCCTCCTACACCGAACGAAAATGACACGCAAAATCCATTGATTTTCGTATAAATTAGCGCTATTGGAAATTCTTATAAAACTTATTCTCCGAAATATGTGTCTTAAATGATGGTCATATGAAAATCATTGACACATAACTTTCATTGTTTATAAGATGCGATCCACAAAAATCGATTTCGCTGGATCGTATCTGTTTACAGCTCCAAGCGAAGTGAAATATTTGCGAATTATCGTGTTTTTCACGCAGGTGAGAAATCAGTGGCGTTTCCTTAACCTCAATCTACCTGTGCATCAACTATCAAAACATAAACAATTATCAAAATATTGCTTGCAATGGATAGATATCGAGTAAACTAGAAGATTAAGTGTATTTTTCAACCGATTCGAGTGAACATGGCATTAAATCTGGTTTTGAAAGTTGGTGCACAGGTTAAAAGTGAGATTACGGGACGCCACTGGAAAAATGTATTTTGTATGAGATTTTCAATTCGCTTCGATCTCTATACAGGCCTTTATGAGACAAATACATACACATTTATATAATTTTTTGAGTCAATATTTTTTACTGGGTTTTTGAATTGCTGTCGTTAAAAATTCAAATGAACGTTATCCGTAAGGAATCAATGAAATCGACAAATTTTTATTTTCTATCATTAGATGGGGTTAACAGAACTATGTTTATACAAGTTTGGAATAAATTTTCCCATTTTTGAAGTTTACACAGAATTTTTAACTTTTATGAACAGTTCCGCAATTCAAAAACCCAGTAAAACCTTACTGAATGGATTGGTGTGTATTGTCTGGATTTTTAACTATTCCCTTCTTATCAATTAACTAATTCAAACAAACAAAATTATCAACTGGGAAAATCTTACATCATCATAGATTTGCTGTTACATGCGTAACCGCTCATCTTCTAATGAGAGTGAAGAATACTCCAACCGATGGATATTCGATTTCGCTAAAAAGGTCTGTCGGGACTCAATTCCAGTACAACACATTCTTCGAGAAGCGTCTCCGAGCGGCAGCTCTCTGGATAGACCATTCACAATGCTGGAATTCTCTGCGGCTCTTCTTTCATCGAACAACTCCTCACCGGGAAGCGATATGATTAAACAATCTTCTGAAAAATCTCCCAGATATCGCTAAAAAACGCTTGCTAGGCTTATTCAATTCCTTACTAGAAAATAACATAGGTCCTGTCCCCTCTCTCGATGAGTCTAATCGTCGCCCACTGGTCACCATAGGAGGTCGAACTCCAGCCGAATCTAGAACCACACTACCGTTCATACTGACGACAACGCTCTGATGAGACAACGAAACCTTACCCCCAAGCTCCTCCCCTGATTCATGCAAATCGATTGGAACTTCCGGTGTAAATAATTCCGTTTCACATCCATATCAACCGATTTAAAATGTGCACAACACAGCCTGACACTACCGAGAATTGCCGTTTCCGGATCCATTTCGCAAAATGCCAACCACGCGCGGCGCAGGAAGCGATCTTTCGGAAAGCGAAATAAGCTTCGTTTTACCTACACTGCAAGTTGTAGCTACAAAGCTTCGCGTAACATCCCATTACAACTGCTTATGAGAATCGACAAAACGAACAATTAGGTGCGGTCGTTATAAGAGAGCTCTGCACTGATTTGCTATGTTTACCAACATAACACCGAAGGGTGACTACGATGTGTCTTCACCAGACCTACTTAGGTCATAACGAGTGTTCAACCTATCTTGATATGTTCCCAGTGCACCCTGGGTTGTTTCTAGTTTCTGAAATGGGTCAAAACACATTAAACGGCGTATGATATAATGAAACAGCAAAAAAAAGGTTATCTTTCATTTAGTTCCACTTATTTAATTTTGGTATCCATGACAGACACGTATTTCGACTACAATGTAGTCTTCATCAGTGTCATTCCCACTAAAGACTTATCAAAAACCCAACCCTCTTAAGTATGATATGTTCTAGGAAGTTGTGAGTGTCATTGAATCACGCATTTTTCTGGAACATAACCATTTGCAGTCAAAAAGTATGTCTTTAAACTGCAAAACATATGTGGTTTCATAAGGTTCTGTTGGTTTCCACGCTATGTTTGTTTAAAGACTTTCCCGAATGAGATTCTGTCTTCTTTAGATTGCTACTCGTTTCAGAAGTTTTGATGTTCTTATAACATTGACACTGATGAAGTTGTAGAAGTGATGAAAATAATTTTAATTGTTATGTCGGTACTTTGGTACTTAGCTCTAACCCCCAAACCATTTGCAGTAGCCAAGTAAAGCCCTTTAGCATAGATCGCGTGTTGCTGATAAACTCATTATCCTTCTAACCTCTTTCAACCCCACAGTAACCGAACTGAGTCACGAATTTCTTGCCTTTGTCCTTGCGTCCATTCAATTGTTACGTGATGATAGCAAGCAAACTCATCATTTTATTACACCGCGCGTATTTGTGCACTGACCCTTCTCCCAGATCATCCACCCACTTCAGTTTGTTCTTCTTTCTTTTTTATTCCACAGAAACTGATTTTCACCGCAATGGCTTGCCCACTGCTCAGCGTCGTCGTTTTCCTAACCGTGCTGGCACTTCAGCTGCTGGCCTATTGCAAAGCGGCCTTAATCTCCGACCCATCTGCATCGTCATCCGCCATTGGCCGGCTCAAGGATGATGACCCCTTTCAGTGGACCGCTCACTACGATCCGGTTTCGCTGCAGATGCACATGAACAGCGTCCGCAATATAAGCCTTCGCCTGGAGGGTTTCACTATCGAGGACCTGCAGGATAATCCGGACATTCAACTGAAAAGCGAACGCAGTCACGTGGCAACGGTGCTGCAGGGTAGCATCCCGATCGCCGAAATAAAGACGAATGGGATCTACGAGGGCGGGTTCAACATTACCGGATCGTTCCTGGGGTCCACCAATCTGTACGTGGAAGTCAGACGGAAGGACAACCTGACGGTAGCGTCGAAGGAGAAACTTCCGGTGACGGTGATGCGCGAGGAACGAGTCATCGATAAGGTGTTCACAGCTTCGGTTGCCATTTTGGTGTCGATCCTGTACATAAACTTTGGTGCCGCTTTGGACATTCCTACACTGCTGGCAATTGCCAGGAGGCCAATTGGACCGGTGATTGGATTTTTGGCACAGTTTCTGTTCATGCCACTGTTGAGCTACGGATTGGGCCATTTGCTGTTTCCCGACAGTTACGAATTGCAGCTGGGGCTCTTCTTCACGGGAGTTTCACCCGCTGGTGGCGCCTCGAATATCTGGACGGTTGTGCTGGGAGGAAATTTGAATCTCTCATTGGCCATGACTACCATCAGCACGATTGCCGCGTTCGGAATGATGCCACTGTGGCTGTTCACCCTGGGTACAACCATCTTCAGCAAAGGAAACCTGAAAGTTCCTTATCGTAACATCGCCACCTTTGCCATCGGTCTGGTTGTACCTCTCGGAATTGGACTGCTCATACAGCGATACAGTCCCCGGACCGCTCGCCTCTTGGTACGCATATTGAAACCCATGGCAGCCATTCTTATCCTGTTCATCGTCATCTTTGCCATCGTAACGAACCTCTACCTGTTCGAACTCTTTTCGTGGCAAATCATCGTAGCCGGATTGGGTCTACCGTGGATCGGTTACATCTTCGGATACATCGCCAGCAAGGCCGCTCGCTTACCCACAACTGATGCCCTGGCCATTTCGGTTGAAACGGGCATTCAGAACACCGGAATTGCCATCTTTCTGTTGCGATTCTCACTCCCCCAGCCGGAAGCGGATCTGACAACGGTCGTCCCGGTATCGGCTGCCATCATGACACCGTTCCCGCTGATGGCTCTCTATTTGGTGATGAAGATTCGCGAAAGGTAAGTGTTCGAACTCAATTGTCCTTCCGTTAGGGTCCGATTGTATGTGTGTCTCGGAAGACAATCTTCCCAATCCATGTCACGTCTCTTTCCAGGTGTTCGATACGCAAGCATGAACTGATTCCAAAAGGTCAAAGTCGTCAAGCACTGGCAGCCACCGAGGATGAAACTCCCTGATTGTTGATTATGCTTACTGTTATTGCCTATAAATGTATTAGCATGTGTACCAACAGTGAACAAAGATATTGTTTTTGTACTGAATACTTAGAGAATAAACATGTTTTGTGATAATCGTTAGACTCCGAGCAATGCATCCGAAATTCCTCCGTCAAATTAGTTTATTCTTCACACAGTACCTTAACACCTAATTGATCTTAATACACGCACACTCTAGTCCCTCATTTCGCCTTCCTCGTCATCGTCGTCCATGCCCCGAATGTACAGGACATTGTTACACCGGATCAGGACCTCACCAAGGTGGCCGGTGTTCTGCCCGTCGACAAACTCTTCGGTGTTAGCTAGTTGCATGTTCATGTACCCATCGACCGACACCAGGAATCCTTTGTACTCGTGGCCCCACTTGAGCTTGATGATCACCGGTTTGCCGGTCAGTCCGTTCAGGAACGGTTTCGGGTTGATTGGCATAGCAGTCGTCATTTTGGCTGAGGTGTGAGGTTAGCTGAAAGGTCGGTGCGGGAATACCTACGTCAATACAGCGTTTTCCGGTATGGTTCGAGATTGTATGCACTTCAGAATTTAAAACTTACCAGCTGGAAAGGAATGTAGGCTTTTAAAATACCGATTTCACGTAAATGTTGAGGAAAAATTCGCTCCGAATAAAACAGCGCGTCTCCTGCAGAACAAAACGATTGGAAATGTTGACAGATGTGCATGAACGCTGCTGTAGTTGGTGCAGACGGGCGAGAACAGATAAATGAATGCACACGGTAATAAGTTTTACACCATCCGGGGTTAACCTCAAACTGACGACAGAACAGTGGTGCCAGTGGTGCAGTTTACGTGTAGAAATACTCAGACGGAGAGATGGGCGGAGAAAACATAATACAAGTCTGCAGCAGGGATTTGTACCTAAATTATCTTGCAACCCTTGTTAGAAGCTAGTATTTAACATGACTTTTATTTTAGATTCGATTTACGTGCAAAATAATAATTGATTGCATCGCAATATTTTGCACATTTCTTGGTGCCATTCATTAACCAACAAAGATCAATTAATCAATAGAGTTAGAATATTGTATTGATTCCAAAAAACTAGATGAATTTGAGAAGCACACAAAACATAGAGGTGATTGAATTTCTGTTCGATTGCAATACTCTCAAATTTAATCTAGTAAGAATAAGAAATCCTTGGAAAATGTCTAATTGGATTTGGCTACTGCAGCGTGACGTCATAAATGAACTCAATGTTAATCGGAAGAACCTTTTTGACAGTTCAGTGGTACTGTTTATAAGCACTTAGTCGTTTTTTCGAAAAAACTATTCTAAAATTTCCGAATTTTAACTTGAAAGTTGTCGAGGAATAACGCGTTGAAAGGATGTTGCTCGTGAAAATTGCAGAAGTGTGGTTTACATCTCACTGCAGTCTGAAAAATTATCCCGACGGTGCAAAACCTTATGTTCGATTGGCTCAGATTTTGACAGTTCATTTGCCTCAAAAAATATTGAGTATTTCTACTCTGAACCATTTGGTGGATTTTTTTAAACTTTTGGTTAAAATTTGACAGGTGGAAAGTTATCGATTAACCCTGCTCTTCGAGCGTGGTTATTTCTGACAGACAAGAATTTAAATTTTGAATGACAACCGTGGCTGAGCTCTTCTTGAAAACCGGTCGATCGACAGCACAGGGGTTTTTCTACATAGAGAATAACTTTCGAAATATCAATTTAAACCACGAGTTAAATTTAACTCGGCAACTGGTAGATTTTCACGATAATTTTTCAGACTGCAGTGAGATGTAAACCCAAGTGTAAACTAAAGAGGCTGAATTTATAAAGAGACGACACGTCAAAATTGGAACAATTGATTATCTGTCAAAGTTATAGAAAAAGTTGTTCCAATCGAGCAGAAGACCTTTTTCCTAATTAGGTTAGGTTAGTGGTACTGTTTACAAGCACTTAGGCTGTGAACCCTTTGCCAAATTAAATTCAACTCGTGGTTAAAAAATAACGTTAAGAAAGTTATTTCTTATATTAGAAAACCCCTGTGTTACCGATCGATCGGTTTTCGAGCAGAATTCAGCCAAAATTTAACTTCTTGCAGGGCTGTCATCTGATCACTCAATGCGCGCAATGTACTGATTTTCTAAAACAAACAAAGTGAGAATCAAGCAAACACAGCAAACACAAAGTTTGCTTGTCTTTCACCCTGCGCAAGTGTAAATCAGCGGAGAAGAGAAGAAAAACACACACCCAGAAATAACGAAATCTCAATGTGTAGCCATCACTCCGACGGCTCCGACGCAAAGAGCGCCACTCAGTGTAGGGTTGCCAATGGGAAACAAACACAGCAAAAATATAAAATTCTTCTTTGATATGCCCTTCTTCATCTCCTATGCATGCAGTCGTGGTAAGCAAAGTCTGCAACGAATTCAAAGATGTTATTAGTTACCTCTATGTTATTAGCGCTTGTTGTATTATATTCGCTCCTTGCGCCGCACGGAGTGTACCACTCATTGTGTGAATCGCTTTCTCACAGATTAGTTGGAAAAGGGTGTGCGAAATAAATGGGAAAACCACACACTCTTTGTCAAGTGTTGTGAGATGCATGCACAAAGTTGCTTTGCTAACGCTCTGAGGTGCTTTCCAGCCCTGACTTCTTGTCTATCAGAAATAACCACGCTCGGATAGCAGGGTTGCTCGATAACTTTTCGTCTATCAAATTTTACAGTGTTCACTCGGCTGTCGACAGAAGCAGACCACTCTCAATGTGTGTCACGCGATCGTCTGTTTACTCGGCAGCAACCATTGTTCTTCATCAGCAGTTCTTTCAGTCGATGCGTCGTCGACTTTGGAAATCAACCGTTTCGTGATGAATGTGTGAGTACTGACCACGTTTTGCGTTCATTGCTACAATGGAAGCGCTCTGACCCTCGTTGGCGAATCTTCCATAGAATGAAACCATTGGAAGAGGCTCCCGTTCTGGTGGAGGAGGCTTATTGGACAGCGGAAGATAAAATGTTTATTGTGTTGTACCTTTTGACTATAGCTTTAAGATGTATCACAAACGAAGTGACAGACGGAGCGGCTCGAAAACTTTGGTGACTAACCTGCTATTTCAATTTGTCAGTGTACCACATGGCAACACCACTACTACTAGATTGTACCACATGGCAATACTACTACTGGATTGTTCTAGCATTTTCACCAAATGTATTAGAATGTTTTGGTTCTATCTCATTCACTCTACTCAAAACTGAAATGCATAAAAAAATGACAAAATGATACGCACTCTTTGCACACTGTCAAAGAATCATTGTACACAAAATCAACTTTGTTCAAATCAAAACAAAAAAACTAACCCATCTGGTGGATGATGGCATAAGCTTCCAAGAAAATTCTATTACAGTGAACCACATTATTTAAATGGATTTCTTCGCCAGTTAGTCGTCTGTCACTTCGTTTGTGGATGTATTGTATAGTGAACAAGAAACTAGGGATTTTAAATTGGCTCACTACTTGACTAGCCTATTAACTGGCAACTAGCAAATCGATTAACATTCTATGTTTCGAAGGGTTCATCGATTAGCTTGGGACCGAAGAGAGTACCAGAGCTTAGCCAAAAAGTTGAGCACGTTTCATCTGGACCTTGTAGTCTTCCCCTCTATGGTGAAAGGGTGTTGTTCGCGGACATTGCAGAAGTGTGGTTTACATCTTTCTGCAGCTTGAAAAATGATCGAGAAAATCTACCCGAAAAGAAATCGACGAAGTCCACGTAAACAGTACCACTGAACTGTCATCCTATTGAGGTTAACCCCGACGGTGCAAAACCTTTATTCACTATAAGTCCATAAAGGAACTTTGCTCATTCAGATGCTGGTGTTCGATTGCGTGGATGTACCTTGATTTTCGAGAAATTTGCGTTTAAAGCCATTGTTTACGTATGTTTGTTCCTAGAAATACTCAGAGGGAGAGATGGGAGGAGAAAACAAAATACAATTCGGCAGCAGGGATTTGTACCTAAATTATCTTGCAACCCTTGCAACCCTTGTTAGAAGCTAGCATTTCACATGACTTTTACTTTTGATTCGATTTACGTGCAAAATAATAATTGAGTGCATCGCAATATTTTGCACATTTCTTGGTGCTATTAGTTAACCAACTAAGATCAATTAGAGTTAGAATATGGTTTTTATTCAAAAAACTAGTTGAATTTGAGAAGGTACACGGAACATAAAGGTGATTGAATTTCTGTTCGATTACAATACTCTCAAATTTAATCTAGTAAGAATAAGAAATCCTCGGAAAAATTCTAATGCACACAAAAAATTATCGTTAATATAATTGAAAAAAACATTGTTAGAATTAAAAGTTATCATTGGTTCTTTTTGGTAGAAAGTACAGAGCTTTAAAAATAAAAAGCTGAAACTTGTCAAATTAAAAGTTTCCCTCATTGTTAATTTTAAAAGTTGAAGCTTTTGAATCAAATTGTAGAACCGTCAAAATAAAAACCAAGGTTTTTAAAATGACATATGAATTGTTTCACTTCAAATGATGCCGTTTTCAGAGTAGTAATATTTATTTTTATCGCAAAATGAAATTATTTTCAAATTAAGAGTTCTTAAGCTTAAAAAGAAAGTATTCAAACTCATATTCTTATCATTTCTAATTATTATGTATATTCATCATATAAATCAATAAATAAAAATCACTTTTTTATTCGTATGCCATTCATCGCATCGTCAAATGCCATTTATGATATAAAGGAAGTGACACTTTGGCAAAATTCCCAGCACCATTCCAGGGTAGCGTAATACATGTTCCGTGTGAATCTGGTGCCCTACTAGAGAAATTCAATTTTCAATCGATGATCTAACGAAACAGCATTCTTCCAACAATCAATACGAAACTAACGATTTTAAATTGGCTCACCACTTTAGTAGCCTATTGGTCCCAAGCAAACGATTAAAGTACCCTATTCTAGTCGAAATTCTAGTACTACGCAATGTTTGTTTTTATTCGCTATGAAAGTTTGACAGATAAAATGAGGGGTTATTGGTTTTTCCTATGTTTCGAGGGGTGAATCGATTAGCTTGGGACCGAAGAGAGTACCAGAGCTGAGCCAAAAAGTTGAGCACGTTATTTCGGGACCTTCTAGTCTTAGAGTTACCTCTATGATTCTTCCCCGTTGGAGACCTTCCGTTTGAAGTCCAAATTAGGCTTTTCCGGCGGAACAACCACAGCTGATGCAGTGAACTTACTCCATCAGTTCCGCTGGTTGTGGACGATGGGATGGAGCAAACTGTTTCGGGAAAACAGTGATGATCTTCAGTGGGAGTCTATATGAATGTCGAAAAACAATATAAATGTGAGTTAAATGGTTTTCCCAATAAAGAGATCCATTAAACCAACAATAACTTCAACGATTCACAGATTGACTTACTTTTAAAAATTTGTTGTCCCAAATTTCTACAGCAGACGGCTGACCAAATTTCCACTATCGGAAAAGGCGGTAAATGAGAGTTCAGTGCTGCCAGTAAAAACGACCTCTAAAGATGTATTTTTGACAGTTGTACAACTTTACTTTAAAAAAATGCACTTTTAAATTTACAAGTCGGAAGTGAAAGAAAAACTTTTAAGGCGAAAAGATAAATGTTATGTTCAATATTTTCGCAGTTGAAACTACGGATTTTGGGAAACTTTTAATTTGAAAATGCATCATATTTATTGATACAATTTTAGTTTTTTGTGTGTGGGAATGTTTGATTGGCTCAGATTTTGACAGTTCATTTGGCTCAAAACATTCTCTCGGCCTATCTCTCCCTCTGAGTATTTATAGGTCTCTTTTCTTCATTCAAATTGTTTTCAATAATCAAACGTCATGATTACCTGGGTTTTGTCAAATAAGGTAAATATTTCCATTGCTTGCACCAAAGAATACAACTGGACGTGAAAATCTCTTTAGCAAAACCTTATTGGGGGGTGCGTAAAAAACATTACGAAAAACTATTGGGTAGCGATAACTTCCCTTTCGAACAAAGCAACTCATACCATTCTCGACTTTTGACAGTCAGTCACTTTTTGGAAGCCCGATTTGGCTGCAAAACAAAAATACCCGGATAAATATCCAGGCAAAAAAAAAATATCCCAAAACCTAAATTTGAGCATCTAAATTCTACAGTTTTAGCGCTAATTGGTGGCATAATTTTTAAGTATTAATCAACCTACGGCCTACCGCTGCAATGGAGATGAAACAGATCGTGAGTGTTGATTGGACTTATGTTGGCAGTAAATTACAGCTTGTTCCGATACAGATACAAACAGAGGAGACCGACGCTGGACCCGTTCGGTTACCGGTGGACAGCGAAACTCACACGTTCGACGATTGGACCATTGCGTACACCAAATCGCACATTCTGAAGAGCGTTTGCACCAACGACAATAAATGTGTCCAGGGGGATGAAAACTGCTGTGAACTCTGCGTGTAAGTTTTGGTGAAAATTTGATGGTGGGGAACTAAGAAGGATTTTATTTCAAAAGATACAACTACGCCTTGGACTTGCCGCACCTACCGGATATGGTGTTTCACCGGAATGTTCTCACCATCAGTCACAAGGATGGAGCGTGTCTGCAGTTTAATCCGATGGACGCCCTCAAGTTGGTTCGGAACGAAAAACTCGACCTGAAGGTAGCCTGTTCGGAGGAATGGAAGGAGAGCCGATCGGCGGCGGATACCCAGGAGAAGGTCAAACCCTTCGATTGGTCCTTTACGACCGAGTACAAGGGCACCGTAAACGAGGGGATTTTGGTGGAGCAAACCGACCAGAAGATCGATATGTTCAAACTGATGAGAAGGGAACCGATTCTGTTCTACCACGACTTGACCCTGTTCGAGGACGAACTGCACGATCACGGGATATCGGTGCTGTCGGTAAAAGTGGTAGGTAGCCGCAGGGGATTTTTGTAAGGGGTTTGAGTTTAATGAGTTGTCTGTTTTGTTGTTGTTTACAGCGAGTTATGCCATCCGGGTTCTACATCCTTCTGCGTTACTTCCTACGCGTGGATCACGTGCTGATACGCATTAACGATACCCGTTTCCACTACGAGAAAGCCAATAGTTACATGCTGAGGGAGTACACTCACCGGGAGGCGAAGGTTGAACAGCTGAAGCGTGTTCCACCGGCCCTGTTCACCAGTCCGAATGAAATTGCCGAGCATCTTCCGGTGGTTTCGAAGGTTACCGAAAAGTTGACCATCGCAACCAGTTCTGTCAACGATGAGAGCGTGGAAATGTCATCGTAAATCAGAAAACTAAGACCCATCGAACGGTCTCTTTTTAGCGTTACATAAGTGTATTTTTAGCATTATCCGCCTCGGCGTCAGATTGTGTATCATTGTGGACTGACTCGGTTCGTCAAAGGATCCAAATGATTGAAACTTAAATACTAAATAATGAGTGGAACTTGATGACTTACATGACTGCATTGCGATGACACGTTCCGTGGGGAGCATTATTTACTCATCGGACGCTTCCCCGTCCTGCGGCTCGGGGGCTTTGATGGGCGATAGGAAGTCTTCCTGGAACTTGGGGTAGTCTCCGATGAACAAGGTCAGCGTGCTGAGAGCGTTTGCCATAGTTTCGATGTAGGTGCAGTCCTCGCGGTCAAACTCGGTGGCCAGATCTAACGATGGGAACAATACACATTACATGAATACCCAAACATGATAGGGAAAGTAAAATCTTACCAACTTTCGGCGGTCGATACGTGGAAAAAAGCGATCGCTTTTGTCGTACTTCCATCGAGAACATATTCACACAGCCGTACCCCTGCAGGATCTCCAGCAAATAATACAGATGCACCGGGGCCATCATGTTGAACCTGGAATAGACCACGCTCAGCAGCACTCCCGGATGGGACATGCAGTAAAGAAGCAGCGTGGTAAGCCACCGGTACATCAGCCGTCGGTCGATTCCTCCATTGATCTTAATCCACGGTGTCATCGCGAGGGATAGGTTCTTCTTCGGTTTCCTGTGCGGGAAAAGATAGCAATTGATCATATAGTCGAGCAGTTTTGGGACGATTTTCTACCAGCGGTTTTCAGAAAATGAAGCAATAATTTCCAGATTTTTAAAGCTTAAACGCTGGCCAGACTGGAGAGTTATAACATGTTATAACGGTTGTCAAATAATTGCAACACAGAAAGCACCATCAAGATAGCGCTATAACATGTTATAACTCTGTAGTCTGAACGTACTATTAGCATATGCATATTTCCCCCTCGCCTCCTCTTCAATGGTCGGTACCCTTCGACACTATCTGCAACAAGGTTGGCAGTGATTCGGCATGAGTTGACTGACACGCTGAAAACGAAGTTCCCGGGAGTGTTTTCGAAGCAGTTGGGTCTCTACACGAAGGCGAAAGTGAAATTGGAGCTACAGACTGGAAAGAGTCCTGTTTTTCGTCCGAAATATCCAGTAGCATACGCTATTTACTGTGCTATGGACGACGCACTGGATCGGTTGGAACAAGACCAAATCATCTCTCCTGTGTGTAGAGTCGATGATTGCCAGTATGATTCTTAAACTAAGTATCGCAGTGGGCGTGAGATTAGTTGTGGAAATTATTTAGATTCTCAAGAAGTGTCACGGACCGGGAGCGGACCCTACACTGTGGACTACTCGGAGTGGGCGGCTCAGATCGTCGTGGTCCGGAAAGCGGACGTTCTGAACGATGCGCTGCAACCCAATCAGTAACCGCTTCTTCTACCGCAGGATATTTTTATATTTGTGTTTAGCCAGATCGATCTGACCGACGCTTTTCTGTGAGGTGGAGATTGACGAACGGCCATTAACACGTATCGTGCCATGTACCAATATAACCGTGTCCCACCAGGTGTGAAAGTAGCGCCTGGAGTATTTCAACAGATCAGCCACACGATGCTCGCTGGGCTACGAGGTGTCTGCGGGCACCTGGATGATGTAGTTGTCTGTGGAGTTGATGAGGCGGATCACAAGAAGAATTTGGATACCGTGTTCCAGAGGATGAAGGAATTTGGATTCACTGTGCATGTATGTACTGAGAAGTGTATGTTTGGGCAAGAATAGATTTGGTATCTACTGGACCAGACCGAATCCAGCGAAGATCGAAGCCATCGTGAAGCTTCCTGTGCCAACGGATGTCAGTTCACCCCAAACATGCGATCTCTGAGGTTCCCGCTCGACGAGTTGCTAAAAGTAGGTGCAAAATTTCGTTGGACACCAGAGTGCCACCAATCGTTCGACCGCTTTAAGCAGATTTTGAGCTTGATGGTTCAGTAAAAGTTGTAACGAAAGCGGAACAGGGTTATAGCACAGAGGTAACTGTAAGACCAGAAGGTCTCGAAGAAACGTGCTCAACTTTTGACATAGGACTACGTCTTTCATTTCTATACTGGGGGTGACATGTAACGAAAAATCCCAAACACGGACGCAATGATAGAGCGCAAATCGAACACACGACACATTGCGCATGCTCACATGAGCGAGCTCAATGCTCGGTTGACCGCTCACCATTTCACCAATGAAAGAAAGGAAGGAGAAAAGCAGCGATAATAAAAAACGCTTGCCATATCGTTCTCTTCGTCATTTACTTTCAGATAAGCGTCGGACACGACGTATGAGTGGAACAGCACCCATCGCATCAATACGAAGACGACCAGACGACGACGAAAACACCCACATCGACCGGAGGAAATGCTTTCCGCAATAGGCAGCATGACTACATCGACAAACCGACATGAATGATGATACAAATTACAAAGAAATTTCTGAACAAAGCACGAACAAGCGTACAAAATTTATGAGTTGGTTCGTGTCTAATCTATTTCGGACAAATTATTTTTATCTAGATAAAACATTTCTATGGTTTTGACAGATGGCATCACTGCACATTTAAATCGGTCGTTATGGATTCTCGGTCAAGAGTTAAGATTAAGTTTCATGTCGGTTTGTCGGTGATGACTAGGCCGCCGGCATCCGGTTGGCATCGAATTACACTGGTGTGGCCACCATTTGAAAAACAACCTGCCCTTTTCAGGGCCACCAATTCAATAACTTTTTATTATTATTATTATAGTCACTTGCGTGCGTGGTCATTCGTGACTTGTCCGGGGGTGAGATTAGAACTCGTGACTTTGGCGTGCACACTTAAATTTTATCGCCGAGATTCCAACAGCCGAGTAGTTCTGCAATTTATTTTGCTGAGATATCAGCTAAAAATAGATATTTTGCAGAGATATCAACAAAAGTAAATGCCGAGGTAATTGGCTGTTGGAGATTTTACCGAGCTAGATTAAGTGTGTCAGAGATATGGTTGCTAACCTCTACGCCGGGGTCACCCCCAATTCAAAAACGGAAAGAGTTAAGAACTAAATGATCAACATATTTGTTCCGTTTCCTAGCGGTCCTACCATAGAGGTCACTCTAAGACCAGAAGGTCCCGAAAAAACGAGCTCAACTTTTTGCCTCTGCTCCCCATTCTAGACGAAATTCTAGTACTGCACTATGTTTGTTTTGATTCGCTTTGAAAGTTTGATAGATAAAATGAGGGGTCCTATGTTTCGAGGGGTTCATCGATTAGCTTGGGACCGAAGAGAGTACCAGAGCAGGGCCAAAAAGTTGAGCACGTTTCTTCGGGATGTTCTGGTCTTAGAGTTGCCTCTATGGTACGCTTATAGATGTACTTGGGACCAATAGGCTAGTCAAGTAGTGAGCCAATTCAAAATCGTTAGTTTCCACCGGTTGGTTATAGCCAGCCGGATCGTGAAGGATTGGCAGTTGGCAATAATTTTTCCTGTGACCAAATTTCATAAAATGATCTTCGATCGCAAGTTTCGCCTCTAGACAGATCACGCGCCCCTTCTGAGAATTTTCTGATCAAGGAAAGGAATCCCGGTATACACAGCGAACCGGCTGCAACGGTGGGTGCTAACGATACTGCTATAAGACTACTCCCCACTCACAAATTCGGTCATCACGGACAATCACGCCAAGCCCGAGGAGGATTATGTCATCGCCAGCGTAATCCTCGAAGAAGATATAAGGTCAGTAGCGAATGAAGTTATTAACGTTCTTCCGCTCAGTTTCAGGGTCGTTGAAAGAGACACTCAATCCGACCCAATGCTTCGAAAGGTTTACCGTTACCACCGACAAACCGACATGACACTTAATTCTGACTTATGTCCGAAAATCGGAAACGGCAGAATTAAATGTACAGTGATCAGGATTTTTTGATCTATACCATGCTTATCAGGACTTACTGCGTACGGTAGACGGGTGCATCTTGTTCGGGGAACTTCTATGATCCCTAAGGAACATCGAGGTCGATGCCTGCGACAGCTTCACCAAAGACATCCGGGCATTCAGCGGATGAAGGCCATCGCTAGAAGTTTTGTGTACTGGCCTTTCCAGACGATGAGATCGTTACATACGTCAGCAATTATGCATCTGTGGCGAAGTCACCGTCGCACTCATCACCAGTTCCGTGACCCAAACCTGTCCATGGAAGCGGGTTCATATTCCTCCTTATTAGGCCTCATTGATTACGCGGGACCGATCAACGGATATTATTTTCTGATGGCCGTCGATGCGTACTCCAAATGGCCGGAGATTGTCCAAACGCGACGTATTACATAAGCAGCAACGATTCTGAGAAGCCTTTTCGCCCGCCATGGAATGCCAGAGGAGGTTGTTAGTGACAATGGCACCCAGGTCACGAGCGCGGAATTCCAGAAGTTCTGTGCTGACCTGTGTTGGCAAAATCAGAAATCAATTGAAATTTTTCCGCTCTCATGCGCTCGCAATGTCACGCGTGATATTGGAACAAAATATCATGTTTGATATTGATTTTACAAGCTCTTTTGATATTGAGAGACTATTCAGAACGTGCAAAAACCTGGGGGGGGATGTGCTGTCAAATCAGCCTACTGATCATCTTGTATGAAACTGGTTCCAAACGTAAACAAACGCTGTAGGTTTCTTATGGCTTGTTTACGTTTGGAACCAGTTATGCGAGGTAGGCGACGATTGTTCGTATTTGACAGCCACCTCCCCCCCTTGGCAAAAACTAAGCTGAGAGTTGACTCGACACAAAAATGATTCCATTGCACATCGTTTTCTTAGAAAGAGAAAGCATAGTTTGCTATCTCTTTTTAATCTTCACCGATGGCAGATGCGAAGGGACTGCAGCAAGCCGTTATGGAAGTTTCGATTGCATTCGGGTGTAAAGCAAAAATCATTAAACTCAATCTCACCACAGTTTGGTGAGATTTGCAGTTGGTGAGTTTTGTTAGCTTGATATTCCGAGCTACGATATCACAGCTTGCCAAATCAACCGCAGTTGTTTGCTTGTTGATTTTTGTCTACGAAAATCAAGCGTGATCTTGGGCGTAGGTGAGATTTGATTTTTTGATATTTTCTCAACACTGGTGCTGACGATGGAATTCAACATGTATCCACGACTCCGTTTCATCCACAATTCAACGGACAAGCGGAGAGATTCGTGGAAACTTTCAAGAGAACGGTGAAGAAAATTCAAGGGGGGAAGAACGCTACAAGAGGCAATGGACGTGTTCCTGTTGGTCTACCGCACCAGGTCAATGGAAAGTCTGTTTCTGCTTCAATGTCCGTATTCGAACGAATTTGGATCTGTGTCCACCGCCTGTTTCATCAACCGTTCAAACCAAGCAAGAAGTAGACCCGAAGAAGCTATGCTTTACTGCGTACGATATTGTGTATGCGAAAGTCTACAATAACAACAATAAGTGCGGCGCTGTGCCCCGGGCGTGGGATGCAATCGAATCGGCCATGTCATGTACACAGTATGGGTTGAGGATCGTCAGTTGAAACGAACACACGTGAATAAAGTGCGCAGCCGCTCCAGCGCTACTGAAACGAAACCTGATAATCGAAGACCTGACAAAACAAAGCTACCATTGAAGATTCTGCTGGACTCCTGGAAACTATCGAAGTTCTCGTCGGTTCCAGAACACC